TCATGAAGAGCTTCCATTGTTTCTTCAATCGGTGTTTCGTAATCCCAACGATGAATTTGATATAAATCAATGTAATCCATGTTCAAACGTTTTAAACTCGCGTCACAAGCATCGAATATATGTTTTCGACTTAAGCCTTTCTGATTTGGTCCATCGGACATGGTGCGAAATACTTTTGTTGCCACAACAATTTCTTCGCGAATAGCAAAATCATTCAATGCACGTCCAGTTATCTCTTCACATACACCAAACGAATACTGTAGGAGAAAAATAAAACATTTTATAGAATGGTAACTGTTATTTACCCGAATGTCTCTTAATTCTCCTACCACATCAGCTGTATCAAAAAAATTAATTCCCAATTCAAGTGCTCGTTTTATAATTGGTCTCGATTGTTCTTCGTTTAGAACCCACTCTCGCCATTTTGTATCACGAATGTCATCATACCTAAACAAATACGGCTCACTTGTAATCCACTACTACCCAAACGAACATAAGGTATATTCGTTTTCTTGATGCCATCCACAACAAAAATTTTCTCATTCGCCATGACTAATTAAAAATAGAAAATATAATAATCTACAATAAAATTATTCTTTTGGAAACATGAACAATTGCACGGTTACCGCGATTACCACAGGTATTTCGGAAAAAGCTTGACATGCGAATACTTATGGTACATCAATATTTCGAATATATCAGTATTGAAGAATAACTAAAATTTGATGGTTAAAACCGAAAATACGAGCAGAATTTCGTATTTTTGTGCTCTTTATAAAAAAATTATTTTCTTCGCAATGACAAGAATAAAAAGGAAACTAATGCTAACTTTTGTTGCTGACAATATGGCGACTCGGATACCACAAAATAGATCCTGACCTCAAAAAATCATTTAAACCCAAAAAGTATATAAAGTAATTCTACAATGTATCCAAGACAAAAGAATCTCTGAAGAAAACGTTTGTTTATTGACAAATACACAGTTGAAACAGCATATCAACACAATCTATGATGAACTATAAAAATAAAATGATCAGCAGCTGGGTAATTCCGCACAGATCCGCCCAGTATTACATGAGCTAAAAGCTGGAAAGGTTTGCCTATATGCAATCGATTGTCCTACTAAAGATATGTAAAGACTCCTGTCACCCCATGGAAAAATTATTCCGAACATGGTTTTTCCTCGGCCATAAGTTCTGAATTAAAGCGTTTTTAAGGGTACCAGAACAGCGAACTCTGACCTTATCTAATACTAACAAGCGTTCTCATACTGCTAGCTGGAAAAAGCATACAAAGTTGCATATTTCGATCCGCAAATGAGAGTTTCTCCGCTGACATTCGGAAAGAATTTTTGACTGGAGGACCCTATCTGCATTAGTAGATATCACTCGTTTTATAGCGTGTTGGACAAGCTCAAAATCTAACAAAACTTAACTTTATTTATATTCAAATGAAAGCGGTTTCCAATTTTGTTCGTATGACGCAACAATGAAGTCTCTAGCACAGAGATGGGCAACTCCAACTCTGGAGTTGAGCTTCTTTTTAGTGGAGTTGGAGTTGAGTTGGAGTTTCGTTTTTATTAGATTAGAGTTGAGTTGAGTTGAGTTCAGATTTTTTCAACTCCAACTCCACAACTCCGGTTAAAAATTTTTGCAACTCTGAAAATTTTTTTGTTTTTGTTACGTCACATAAAAGCAATATTAACATGTGTTCAACGTTTATATATTCTGAATATGTTAAACTTATGTGTATATATGCTACCGATGATCATATGATCTCGAATGAGCGAATAAAAGAAAACATTGCAGCGTTGTCGCTTTCTGCAGTGATCACATTAGAGTTGATGAAAACAAGTCTCTCGTTTTTCCTTTCTCATGTCTATTTCTTAAGAAATACACAGAAAATAAAACGAAATCTTATTTCTACCTATTTGATTATTCTTGCTCACTTATCCACATCGTGTGTTATAACCACTGATATTTTTGTAAAATTAGAAAATACTTCAGATGACAACATCTAGTTCGTCTAGTTCCATTAGCAATACTTCTGTCTTACAAACTGTTCAGAATAAATCAACTAAAAAAGGTAATCCAAATTCTTGTGTCGAGAAATTTTTCGTTAACTACAAAGAACATGCCGATGGTAAAACGTCAAGTGAATGTTTAGTATGTAAATATTTAGTCACTCACAAAATCTGTGTAACATCGAATTATACACGTCATATGCAACGTCATCATTTAAAAATGTATATGGAATGGATTGATTCATTAAAAAATAATGATAATAAGGATGTAATTGTAACTCAACCAAAAATTAAAGATGCATTTAATAATAATAAAACAACAAAATACAGTAGTCAACATCCTCGTCAAATTGAATTAAACAATATGATAATCAATGATTTGATAATAGATCTCGGTTTGCCTCTATCGATTGTTGAACGTCCCGCATTTTTACGAGCAATGAGTAAAGCTGATTCCAAATTTCATGTTCAAAGTCGCCGAAGTATCTGTCGAGAATCTATACCTGCTTTATATGATAAAATGATTCGTGAATTGAAAACAATATGTACAACTGCTGAATTTATCTCATTGACGTTAGATATCTGGACTGATCGGAGAATGAGACCATTTTACGCTGTAACTGGTCATTCAATCATTGATTGTGTTTTTAAATCATATGTTCTCTCATTTTTGCCATTAACAGGTATATCTTTAATTTGAATGTGTGTTCTCACGCGACTTTTTTCCTCTAATCACAGGTAGCCACACTGGTGAAGCTTTGCTAAATGAATTTGAAAAAATAATTTCATCAGATTATAATATTGAAAACAAACTTGTACGACTGGTAACCGATAATGCTGCTAATAATGTCAAAGCATTTAAAAGTTTGATAGTTACTGGTTTTGAGCATTATTTTGAAGGTGATGATGATGATCGGATAGATGACGATGATTCGGAAACAGATGAAAATAATACTGAAAATATATTTAACACATTGGCAAATGATAATTCTGTTAATTTATTACGTATTCCGTGCTTTAGTCACACTTCACAACTTGTAGTGGCTGACGGTTTAAAAGAATCAAGCTGTGCTCGTTCTTCGTTGGTTAAAGTTGCTAAAATAGCGAAATACTCGCATCAAAGTACCAAATTCGCGGAAAATTTGGAAGTTAATGTATTAAATGAATATTTGAACCACTGTAATAAGGATGAATTATGTTTAACATCAAGAGACATTGCAATACTGCGTGAATTCCTCTCGTTGTTCGCACTTTTTGCCGAAGCAACTGTACGGGCTCAGGCACAAAATTCTCCATCGATAAGTTTGGTCGCACCTAGTCTTCTTGGTATTTTTTTCCATTTGGAAAATGAATTGAAAAATTGTTGTATTTATACGTCGAGTTTATGTAAGGTATTGATAACATCGTTAAAAGCTCGTTTTGGAGGTCTTTTCGGAAGATTCAATATTTCCGTCGAAAATATGGTTAAAAAAAAGATACGTTTCACCTTTTTAAAGATGATACTTTTTTAATCACACCATTTCTCGACGCAAAATTCAAGCTCAATTGGATAGTTTTATCGGAACTTTCTGATCCAGTGAAAGAAAGTTTGTGCCAATTAATAAAAAAGTTAGTTACTGATGCTGCATTCCAATTAAATAGTAGTAAAGATAGCAGTAGTTCGAGTAATTATTATAATGCAGCACATGATGATAAAGGTGAAAGCTCAGACATTGTTTCAGGTGAAAAACGAAAAACACTTTTTGGTTATTGTTCATCACAAAATAAAATAAAAAAAACACGTATAGACATACAAAATTCTATTCAAGACGAGATAGTTAGTTTTCTAAAAGAAGAAAGTGCATTGCTTAATTGTCCATGGAAAAAATGTTGTGTCAAACTTAACTTTATAAGTACGGTATGTGTTCATACGATTATTAGAAGCAGATCGCAGAGTCATAGTTGTTGTTGCTCCTAACGTGGGTATTCTGTCAACTGGAAAAGGTGGAGTAAGGCCTCTAAATATTTTGAATAGTAGTAATATTTTATGTATTGCAAAGAGATGTTCAAGTGATAGCCATCCTAGTATGTTAAGGACTTTATCTCGTGAACTGAGACGCATAGCACCACTAACAGTCAGTGCAGGATCGTACTGTGGGTTTGCAATTGGTTTTAAGTAAGCTAATATAGTAGGCAAAGGAGTATTTGTAGTTTGAATTTTTTTCGCACATGCATAAATTACATCTGCAGAACTTATCACTGGCAAAATATACGATTTGTAGATCTGGTCGAGTGTAGTCGTACTTAAAATATTTTTGAAACAGCGCATTAGGTATAGTGTATATTTACACTTTTTTGTGACCTCGTATACATGTAAAGGCCAGTCTAGCTTAGGTGTTAAGTGCAAGCCCAGATGTTTATGTCGGATGTTGCTGTTTCTCTTTATACAAATAACTGGATATGCAAAAAATAGAGAACGAAGTTTATGCTTACTCTTCCTCTTCTCTTGCTTTCGTTTCATATAAAAAAACAGACATCGGTGAATGTTTATACTCTTCAAAAATTTCAAAAAATGTCCCAATCATGTGTGAACGAATATTAGGTACACAATGCTATTATTGCGATCTGATATTACTTGCCAAAAGCATTTGATTGAACATAATGATTTTCGCAATGTTCAATTGAATTCGTTCACTCTCAAGTTGAAAAAACTTGATTATGAACTGCGATGACATCCAACGTTGAATAAGTGATCGGAAAATCTCGTCAAAAGCTAAAACCATGGCTTGACGATTTTCACAGGTCGATTTATAACTTTTTCAAACAATAGTGCCGAGAACTTGATTGATGCATTGTTGAAAATTGCTTTTTAATAAATAAGACGAAACACATTGGCGAGTTGAACTCTGCAATATATCTCTTGCAATATTTGGATGCCATATATTGGCATCAGCTAAGAATTGTCGTAATCCATCTTCAGATTTATTCCAAGTCATAAAGATATCATCAATGTATCTATGTAGATCATACTTTAAAAATTGTTGAAATATTTTTGTCGTACACTTACCGGCCAAAAAATTCGCCTGTTTTTGTTTGTTCATCAACTAATTTCTTTTGCCAATTCCACATAAAAATATTGGCTAACATTAATGTAAATAATGAGCCCATAGCACCACCAGTAGTTAGTTTATAAATTTTTTGACCATAAACGAAAACATTTTCTTTAAGTACAATGGAAGCTAATTTTCTTATTGTATCAAGATTAATTCCTTTGACTTTTGTATAACCATGGACATGAAGAAATTCCATAAGAATATTCAATGCTTCGTCTAGTGGTAACTTGGTAAATAAATTTTGAATATCAAATGTACATAAAAGAGTTGTTGATTTGAAAAGACCTTTTTAATATGTGTTGTAAGTTCAGTTATAAGATAATTCAATAAAAGCATTTGTATCTTGAAAAAAATTTTCTACTTTCTTTTCAAATTCACTAGCTAAACGAATATAAAAATTATGGTCTTTATCAGTAAGTCGAATTATTTTTAATTATTTCTCGAATTGATTTGACAACGTGTGCTTGTTCTAAAGCATGAAGTTGATCTTTGTATGATAATGGGGTAGAATCAGAAAGAGTGAAATAATCTTGTAGCTGTTGTGAATATCGATCGAAAATTGGATTCATTGATTTGATCTTATGCAAGATGGACCTACAACAAATAAAGTTTTTTTCCAATAAAAACCAAACTTATTATCTTAAAGAAAAATACATGCTTACCAAGTGAAAGATGATTCCACTGACGTGTGTCAAACGGATTGCGTATCACATCGAGATAGAACTCAGGAGACACACCAATAGTATGTTTTGTTGCTGTCGATGATAACGAACGTTCACGATTTTGAATTGTTATTCGTTGGAACGATGACATTTCATTATAAATATCTTTTTGTAATCTTGATGCTCGATAATTCATAAGTCTTTGATATGATTGACGAAAAGTGACGATGAATTATTAGTAGTAGAATTATTCAATAATTGTGTTTGCAATTTAATGAATTCACATTGGTATTGTTGTTCACATTCTATTATTTGAAATTCATAAGTATTGAAAAAATAATTTAACCATTTCCGTTTTGTTTCTTGTATAGTTTTAAAACGTTTATTTTTCACACCAATAATTTTTTGATTATCATGTATTGGTACATAAGTAATAGGCGCAATGAAATTTTCCATAGAATCCAAATTTTGTGGTAAAAATTTACAAAGAATTCGTGATTCTAACATCACTTGTTCTTTCCAAATTGCTGCTTGTTTATCATATATTGTAATTAATCGTTGGATAGATTCATTCTGAAAGAAGACAGGGAATTATTTGATAAATAAAAATATCTATTCTATTAGACGTTATGTGTAGAAGACTTACTTGTTGATCATGTATCAGAGAAGAAGTACATATTGAGTTGAAAAGATTTGTTTCATCTATATTATCTTTGAATTTAATTAACTGTCCATTGTTTCTCATTGATAAATATTTTCGTTCACGATCGACCAATTCTTTACGACAATGTTGAATTTGATCAAATGATAACTTTGGAATTACAGGACATGATTGAAAATGTTTTGTTAATTCAATTTGATATTGACCTAATTGTGTTTTGATATTCTGTAGATAATTGATGAGATATTCTTTACATAATTGGAAATCATTTGTGTTTGCCATAGTATACAATTGATCCTTAATTTTTTGAAGAAAAAAAATAGATGTTTAAGAATAGTGGAACCAAAATAAAATAGATAAACTTACTGGCCATATATGATATTTTAAACCAACATCGAAATAAGATTGCCATAATTGTTGTTCCATTTCTAGACAATATTGCTTGTCTAATAGCTCAAGTTGTTCATACATAAATGTTTGTTCATCTTTTTTCTTTAATTTATGATTTAATGCTGTACTTAATATTTGATAAAGTATAGCTGATGATCGCATTAAATACATAAGTTGTCTACTGAAAAAAACAAGTTTACATTATCGATAATTTTCCTATTGAAAGGACGGGGGCGGATAAGAACACAAATCGGCCTACCCTTAGATTTTCAAAAAGAGTACATAACCAGATGCAGAATTTAACGGTGAATCTTTTGGTAATAAATTGAATACGTTTTGAAAAGAATTCGGTATTGATTAATAGGCTATCTTTTTCTCCTATTTTCTAACCACTATTTTGAAAATCCGTTACTCAAAACTATTCAATCACTAATATCAAACAGTCTCGTTTGATAGAGCTCGTCAAGCTCTACAACCTGGTATACTTTTTTCCTTTTTTCGTCAATGGCCAAAAAAACCTTATAGTGATCCACTGTCTGAAATAATGAAAATATATGGTGTTGATCACTTCATTTAGTATAGGTAAATATAAAAACCTGTTAGGGTAATTCTTGCAGAACTAAAAATGTCAAATACAATAGAGCTACTTATATTATAAACGGAGAAGCTCACAAATTTATACACCACTTTCTGACAAGACAATGAACGATTGTAGTGACTGCGAAGAAAAGAGTATTGGAAATCGCTATATTTAATTCTATGAGAGGATGGGGGTCGTTAAGAACTGAAATCGCCCCCTCCCCTCCCCCAAAAAAGAAGTCCTTTCTCTCACTCCCATAAGTCAATTTTGACATCGCGAACTCGAAACTGTTATAATCCTGTATATCCCACACATTCTGGCTCCGGCAGACAGACTCCTAAACACGCGTTTTTTCTATCGAATTTTGGCCTTTTTTCGCCGGTTTTTCACTTGTTTTATCAAGAAAAGTGTTTCGGTCCAATTTTCATTCACGCTAGGTCGATAGAACTTTTTACGTTCTACAATTTTCATATAAGAATAAGCCATTGAAAAAGTGGGCATGATGGTCATCACGCGGAAATACTGAAAAAAAACAACCTTTTTTCACTGGTTTTTGACATTTTTCATGAAGATTTATCAAGAAAAGTATCTCGATCCAATTTTCATTCGCACTAGGTCGGTAGAATTTTTTATGCTCTACAACTTTCATATAAGAATAAGCCGCTGAAAAAGTGGGCATGATGGTCATTTCGTGGAAATACTGAGAAAAAATAGTCGGTATGAGCTCTCTATATTGATTTTTGAGCTTATCTCGTCACTAGAAACATGGATGACAAAAACCGGTTCTTATGTCGCGGACATGTATCAGGTTGTCAACAAAGTTTTTTTTCGTTTTTTTGACAAATTTTATTCTTATTTTTCCACACCAACGGTACAAGCCACAACATGAATGGGGACGTGGCTGCTCAGTTGTCCATGTTACATTCGCTTGAAACGTCCCATTCTGCAGAGCATTGTGTTTTTAGAATATAAGCAATAATCAGTATGTTCAGACTAAGACATGTAAATTTTCAAAATAACTCTTGCAAGTATAATGCACGTGTATATAGATGAATCCATAGGAAAAATACAATTTTGTGGAAGACATTATGGATTCTTTTTTTGATATAGTGGTTCGACCGAAGATCAACTTAAAACAATTTAGCACGGAAGAGAATTTTATTTGATGTAGTCATTTCCAAAAAAAATTTCAAAATAAGAGAAATGTGTATGGGTATTTTAGCGTGTGAAGTTAGGTTGTGTCGCGATTCCTTGAGGGTGTGATGAGGGTGATGCCTAAGATGAGCATAGCGATGAGGCGAGGCTGTTGATATAAGGTTCGACGGAACTTTTATAGTAAAAAGCTTTTTGCGAAATGTTCTTCTGTGGAAAACATTGTACATACTATTTTCTGCGAGATACTTTTCTACGAATGATATGTAATTCACTTCACCAACGTCATTTTTACAGAGAAAAGCAATTTTCTACTAATTTATGATGAGAATAATTTATTTTA